AAAAGAAACATATCATCATGTGCTGATGATGCCTCAAATTGGTTTAGGATGGTTCCTCTTGGAATACTCTTTGCTGACCAACCCCTACCCCACACCATCAAAAGAAAATTGGTGTTTTCTTTTTCTTTTTTAATCTGTTGAGAAAGGGGGAATGCAATAATAAAGACAATAATAATAATAATAATTACATCCATAAACATGAGTTATCTACTTGTTTACTTGATTTCCAAGTAGTTATCTATTACAAAGCTAAACGCTTACTAAACTTTAAAATGACATGCAATGAATTTGTAATTTAAGTGGTTAAAAATAGTATTTATCTCCGCACCCGATAACATCATCATTTTACCAATAAACACAATGCCAATACAAAAAACACATAACTAGAGTCTCCTACTCTGAGCTTCAACATGTGTTTCGTGAAGAAAATTTGGTTATTGATGTTTTGGCAAATTTGGGTCATCATCAACAAAATCTTTGTATTTGATTTAATATGTTCCCAAATTCTATGGCTATGCGACTGTTATTTGATGAAAGGAATTTTGAGATTCCTCGAGGATCCGCCTTGTAATTGTTTTTTTGTACTTCAAAAAAAAGTAATAACTAGAGTCTCCTCTTTTATCAACTTGAGATTCCTCGAGGATGAAGTAAGAAACTGTAGTGTCCTATCAACGTTTCATGAATCATGATAAAGGGAAGGGGCTCTTTTTGAAGTGGCACATAGAACCCTTCCTACCAAATCCAACATGCACTTTTTTCTCTTTTGGCTATATTTTGGACGAGTCTCTTCTTTTGGCTTACAAAGCAAGACAAATCAAATACGTGCCCACCAACTTTGCTTATACCCCAAAGCACCCAACCACAACACTTAATTGTGTAGCTAGAGTAGCTAGAGAGAGAGAGAGAGAGAGAGAGAGAAACAGCAGTCGTCCAATTGCCACTGTAAAAAAGAGGTTTTCATGCTTCTTAAACAAGACTAATGGAATGAGAGCTCGGCTGGCCTCACACTACTCTAAGTCTCCAACTGACTTCATCATTCTGTTATTTCTGTGCATATCTGCATATATATATATTCTTAAATTGAGTGATGTGCTTCCATGGTCAACAACAATCACAACAAGTACACAAATAACTCAAACTGCTTCACATACTCATTTGCAAACACAATGGTCCCTTCGGCCCCTGCTAAAATACTCATAGGCATCTCCACAGACCCAAATGATAGCCAAGAGTTGCTCTCATGGGCAATCAAAGTTCTAGCTCATCCAAATGATACCATTGCTGCCATACATGTTCTTGGTCAGTATTTTCGAATTAATTTTTACCATAGTTTTTTATTGATCTTTTTATTTTTGGGTATCTCATTCATTTGCCCTCTAATTCAAATTTAAAGAAAAATTAGTGAGTGTGGAAGAATTGCATTTTTAGCATAGCCAATTTTATCAGTGAATTTATTTGTATGTGTGATTGAATTTGCTATGTCTTGCAAAATTGACTATTTTTCAGTTGGGGAGGAGAGGAAGAAGCGCGATTTAGTGGCGAAAAAGCAATCACAGCTTCGTCGAGCAAAAGCCTATGTGATATCTGTGCTTGGAGAATTTGCCAGGGCTTGCCAATCTAAGCAGGTGACCTGAAAGTGATGTGGAAGATTATCAACTTCTTTTGAAAATTGTAACAAGCTCAGTATCAGTAACCTGCTGATGCAGTATATTCTACAGTAGAGTTATAAGGCTAATCTGCAAATAACCATTAATTTTCAAGACTAATCTGTAAATACAATTAATTTTCAGGTTAATTTGGAAGCTAAAGTAATTTTTAGCTCCAGCATTGGAAAAGGTCTAATTGTGGAAACAAAATCAATTTCAGCAGACTATCTTCTTCTTTGTGGCTCAAGAAACCAATCAACTAGGTGGAGACAAGCTTATTCTGAAAAGTTTCAATGTTTTTTCAATATGATCTCTCATGACTGACATTTTCCCCTCACTGAATTAGAACTCCATCCATTACAAAATATTGCTTCAAGCATGCCCCAGATAGCTGCTCACTGGTTTTATTTGGGAAGTCTAAGCAACCTCAAGAAAATTCAGATTCACATTCTACAGACTCAAAAGGTAACTTATTTCGAAAGCTTTTTTCGGATAGTATAAGAATTATTTTCGTGGACTGTATTCTAATCTGTCCCTAATAACAGAAAACTATCAACCAAGTCCAATTCATAGTGGCAGAACTACATCCTCTTCTAAAAAGCAAACTGTCCAAGAAACAAGGAGTACAAGTCCTTCACCAAGAACTGTTCTAGGTGAATTTGAAGCAGAATCTCAGAGCACAGAAGATTATAGCGGCAGCTATGGGGACTCTGCCCTCACAGAGTCCCCTTCTCTGGCTAGGGACTCTGCCCTCACAGATTCCCCTTCTCTGGCTCCTCCCATGTTCAAGAGCCAAATAAAAATAAGGAAGCGAGGACTGTCACCTTGCAGAATTATTACTTCTTTTTTAGGTTCACCATTCAGAAAAAGAACTGGCAGTTTATCCAACAACGAAAAGCGGTTACCTTTGTTGAAGTGCTTCAGCTACGGGGAGATCATGGCTGCTACAAATAGCTTCCACCCAGGTAAAAGTGACTATACGATTAGTTGTCACAATAATATTGAACATTTCTGATAAATTTTTTAAAATTGTGGTGTTTCGTGAACCTCGTAGTGCTGTTGGTTTTTGCTTATTTGAAATTCTCATGTCATTTGGTTCTTCTGAGTTTCAGATAATATAGTAGGTCGAGGTGGATATTCAGAAGTGTATAAGGGTGACCTTTCTGATGGACGAACCATTGCGGTTAAGATGTTGGCCAAGGACAGCAAGGATGCTAACAAGGAAAAAGAGTTCCTCATGGAATTGGGTGTAATTTTACACGTCTGTCATCCTAATACAGCTAACTTAGTCGGTTGCTGCATTGAAAATGGACTCTACCTGATTTTCGATTTCTCCCAAAATGGAAATTTGTCATCTGCTCTGCATGGTAAGAACAATACACTGCCTCAATTTCAGTAGGATTCACATGCATATATATATATATATATATATATATATCTAGATATGTATGAAGACTTCGGAAAGGAAAAAAAATCTAAATATGTTGTTTCTGGAGGGGAAGAAAAGGGACATACCATTGAAAGTAAAAGTCGATTTGTCATTAAGACTAATTAATTAGAGAAAGTTCACTTACTTTTGCAATCAACAAGCTGAGTTTCTCAACTTTCACCAATTATATTCATGACCTGTTCAATTGCACACATTAAGTATGCCTGATGCGAACAACTTGCTGATTACTTGAGACCCTCTCAAACAATATTTCTTCAGGGAGATCTTGCGAGTCACTTTCGTGGCCAATCAGATACAAGATTGCCATTGGAGTTGCAGAGGGTCTGAATTATCTACATAAATGTTGCAAGCATCGAATAATACATCGAGACATAAAAGCCTCAAATGTCCTTCTAGGACCGGATTATGAACCACAGGTGAAGAAGCAAACAACTTACTTCAGTGCAATGAGCTTGATAGCGTTATCGATCCCTCTAAATTCAGATGTAATTTTATGTGTGTGTAGATTACAGACTTTGGACTAGCAAAGTGGCTTCCTAACAAATGGACTCACCATGCTGTAATTCCAATTGAGGGTACATTTGGATACTTAGCACCAGAGTACTTCATGCATGGAATTGTGGATGAAAAAATAGATGTTTTTGCATTTGGGGTTCTTCTTCTCGAAATTGTAACTGGAAGAAAGCCTGTGGATTCATCAAAGCAAAACCTTCTCCTCTGGGTAAGGAATTTCTAAACTATATGAAACGCATGTACACATACACAGACAGAGACACATATACCTATACAATCAGTAAATCTCTTCATCTTTCTCTAAGTATTGAGAAGCTGTAGGAAAACAAAACTTGGAAAATCAAAGATGCACCCAATCTAGATATTCTGCTACAGAAGCCATGTTCTTATTTCTTATGCTAGATTGAAATGAAACTTGAAAAAATTGGGGGGGTAAAATGAAAGATGTGACTTGCTAGAAGCAGAAAATGGGCAAAAGAAGACTTAAGAATCCAAGCATGTCTCTCTTCTTGATATTGGATCAAGCAAACTGCAAATTCCTCATTTTACCATATACATATTTGTATGTATATGTAGGCAAAGCCTCTTATGGAATCAGGGGACATAGAAAAACTAGCTGATCCAGAACTGGAAGGAAAATATGATGCAGAACAACTACACAGAGTAGTGCTTGCAGCTTCGTGTTGCGTGAGACAATCCTCGGTATGGCGTCCGCCAATGAGTGAGGTACAGCACTGATTCACTATGCATTATGCTGGACACAATAAATTCATCTCATCATGAATTGAAACTTTGATTTCTCATATATATACATATCTGTTTTTCTTTTTGGCTTAGGTGTTGGAGCTTCTAACCCATGGCCATAACTCAGAGGTTGCAAAAAGCTGGATCCCTAAGTTTTCATCAGATGAGTTGGATGATTACTCCATGGTTTTTGGATATGATGTTCCAGTAGATATTGATTTGGAGGACTGCTTATAAGTATTAGACCCTTGTTTTTATTTATTTATTTTCTGCATTATGATTTTAGGTTTAATTACTTGTGACAAAAGAGAGATCCAGTTGACTGTATAAAACGTAAAATAAAATAAATAAAATAAAATAAGTTGGCTTCTTCCTTGTAATTTTTTCCATTTTTTTGGGTAATTCAAATACCACAATTCTGTTAAATTCTTGATGCAGCCTAAACTCAGAATCTATTATAGCCTAATAACTCCAATTGCCTCAGCTCTGAATTGAGAGTAAAAAGAGAACACCCGAATCGAGAACAAGAACAAAATTTGCACTCCAACAGTTGATCTTCAAATTCCAGAACAGTTACTGAATTTGTACAGTTTTGGTCAAAGAACTAAAATTTCTGAGATGAAAAACAAAGAAGCTGGTCTAAATCCTTAATCACGATAAAGGTACCTCCTCGAGGTTCTAAAACTGTAGGGCGATGCCAACTTTTCTTCTTCTTCTTCTTCCATCTCCTCTGTTTTCGACATAAAACCCCTGTTTATAAATTGCAGCTTCACATACTTGTCTTTCAACTTATGACTATGATTCTTGAGCAACGCATTGTTGGGAATTTCATTTGGCAACTCAGGAACATTTTCTTGTTGTTTTTCAGATTCAAATCTTCTTTTTCGCTGCATATTCTTTCCAGATTGAACCGACGGCTCTGTTTCAATTTCCTCCGTGTTGATGAATTGTTCTGATGGGGGCATTGCTACAGGGTTTGGGAAATACTCATCTCCAATCTTTATCCACTCTTTCCCCAACACTGACAGAAATTTTTCTTCTTCTTCTTCTTCTTCGTCTTGAGATGACATCGAAGGGTGGTCTTTTGGCTCCTCGGCTTGCTCTGGCATTTTCCCGGATTTTCTCTCTGTTTGGTTCACTTTCCTGGAAAATTTCCCAGATGGGTTTTTGTGAAACTTGCTAAAATATTTTCCTACTCTCCAGCTCCTTCTCCTTCTTCTCTTTCTCCTTCTTGATCTGTGCTAACAGAATTGGGAATGTTTGCTAACCACTTTGTGTGATGTTGATAGGAAAAGAGTAGGTGTTAAAATTTGGAGGGAAAAACTAAACAGAAAGGCTCCTTCTTAACGGTTAACGACTTTGTGACTCGGACAGTGTTTGTCTGTTGTAGTTCTTTTATGTTTACAAAGGTTTTTTCTTTTCACTAATTTATGATAGATATGAAAATTCCTGGAAGAAAAAAATGCTAGATATGAAAATTCAATCATTTTTTCGGTTACAGAATATACAATACTATTTAATTGAGGAAAGAGAGAGAGAGAACTGAGGAAGGAAGTTGTTGAAGGCATTATTTATTTATTTATTTTTTGGTACGACAAGGTATTTTTTCTTATAGATATAGAGATTTATGTTTACTTACTAGGAATAGAAAGGGGTTTGTAGTGGTATTAAGAGCAATAACCGGTGCTCCAGGTCTTATGTTCGAATTTGATGAGGAGAAGGTATCTCAAACACAAACTTTCAATAAAACTGCACTAACACTGGAAATATAAAATGAACGCTCACAGTGTGCGGCTAGACTTAGTTGCGTTTTCTTATTATATTCTCCAAATTCAACCTGATCCACTTGGTATACAAGAACATATTCAAAATAACAACTACCTCCTAGCAAAATAAGGAAAACCTAAAACACAAGGAGTGAAAAACATAATTCCGGTACAAGCAGGAAAAACAAAACATAAGGAAAATAGTAAAGGAATTAAATTATCAATAGAAAACGCAATCTCCTAATTTAGTTAGGGCAATAAGCATTGAGGTAATTAGGAGACTTGACAGATCTCTTGGGCTTCCCTAATTTGGCTGCAACAGTTGACTTTTCGAGGACAAGATTATCAACTGATTGAGTTGATTGGGGTGTTTATGCATCATAATCCCCCCTCCCCCAATATTTATTGTATAAGAAAACGGGGCTTTTGACAAAAATGGTCCTTGAACTTATGTTCAAGTTTTATTTTGGCAATCCAACTAAATTTTTCACTTCAGTGGTCCTCTAACTCTCTTTTGTATCAAATTGGTTCTACCATCAAATTTTGCCATCAAATTGAGGGGTAAAACATTGAATTTGAGTAACAGCTTATGGAGGGAAACGTTCATAGATGGGTTAGTCGTTTTAGAGGAGAATAGTGCCTAATTTGACAAAAGATGAGTGGAAACATACAAGGGAAGTGTAAGTGGACAAAAGAGGAGTTAGAACATATAATTTCCAACAAATGGAGTGTAAATAGACAAAAGAGGAGCAAAGAAAATCATCTCCCTTAAATAAATTGGGTTTCTAGGGTATATAACTCCTTATTTCTTTTTTCACTACCAACTAAATTAGAAAATGCGTTGTTTCATAATAAAAATTGACAGTTTCTTCATCCATCCTGGTTTTGGGTTGATTCTTGGCCCTTAATGTTCATCATTTTTCTTCTAAATCTTAGTTTTTGTATAATTTTCACAAACGTACACTCCTAGTCGAGGGCTGGGCGGAAGATCATGAGAGAAGGGAGGGGAGAGTGAGATGGATATAATGATAACGATATATAAGGTGCAAATTGTGAGTTATAATTTGATACAATTATGGGGTTATCGGGGATGTGCCACTACTCGACTTGAAATCACTATAGTCAAAAAGATTATAGAGTCAAATATGCGTCAACTCCACAAACTTTCTAAACCACAAAACTATATGAAGGAACACCAACTTGGGTGCCTAAGAACAATAAGATAAAGTTTGATGGCGTTGAGGATGGCTCTTTCTGCTTCCTGACACGTTCGACCCTGGACTCAAGGCAGGCATGGCAACAATGAAGAATGAGGATTTGAAATTAATGAATTCTAAATCCTAGAATTTCAAATTTCATTGTTTGGATATATAAAAAAGTTGCCGTTAGAATTTGTGTGTAAGGATTTCAAATAAAATGTAATTATTTAGGAAAAAAGAAAATCAATCAGTTAAAAACTACAGAAAATGAAAATAAATAAATAAATTTAAGAATCACTTAAAAATGTAAACAAAAAATTAAAAGAAAAGAATTGAAAAACCAACTCATACAATTTCATTTTCTTTTTAAATTTTCCTTCCATTTTCCCACTGAGATGGAGGAGAGAGAAGAGATGAAAAATGACGAGAGAGGAGGATATGTAGAGACGTGAGATGGGAAAGAGAAGGATGCTAGAGAGGTATGCATCTCACTAACGACATGCGCTCAAATTCCTAGTTTTAGAAGTCATTTGAAATCCTTGTATTTTGGCCTACCAAATTTTAGGTGAATTTGAACCCAGACACAACCACCGCCTGCAATCCTCTCCGTTTAAGGATTTTCCCTTGGAACCAAACCTCTAGTTTTCTCTTTCGGTTAATAAACCGGGCTTCTCTCCCTCCGACATTTTGTGGAGAGCTTTCATCCCAGTTTTTTTGCTGGGTTTTGCTTTCCTTGCTTTTGCAAGGTTCTCGTCTTTTACTCAATTTTCTTGGGGTCTGCTCTCCAGCCTCTTGGGCTAGGTTTTATGCGTCTTTGTAGATCTGATGCCTTGGCCTTTTGTGGAGTTGGTTTGAGGTAGTATAGATTTCTTATAGCCTTGTTTATTTATGGAGGTGGAGTTGTTAGTCATGGGTGGATCTACCATTTTCTGGGTGTTGTGAGATCATGTACATTTCTGGAGGCGATGTGGCCTTCTTTGGCTATGTGAATGTTGATTGATCAGGTCCTTTCACTTTTGGTGCTTCTGGTTCCCTGTTAGTGTAGAATATGTTGATCTATCATGATCTCTCTGGAGCATTGATGCTGCAAGGAGTCTTCTTGATTATCTATCTTTCAACTTTGAGTGAGCTCAGGTTGATCTTGTCCTATTTTATACTCATTGTCTTGTTGGATTTAATTTTCTAGATTTGTTGTATGTTACAATCTCCATTTGGGGTGTGTTCTTACTGTAAATCTCTTGTATTTGATCATGTTCTAAAAGAAAAATTAGGTTGACCAAATCTAAATCCACTAATTAACAGGCCCAAACGACCTCAAATATTTTTTGTTGTTGCCAAAGTTAGGAATGGAGAAGGGGAAAAACTCGAACACATAGGTACCAAAGACGCTTGAATCGAGGAGCACTTGAAAGCACACCAAGGACCTTGGCCAATCCAACTAACACCCCATTGGACCTAAAATACTTTAAAACACCGAATTCATTTAGGCCCACTTCTTACAAAAATTTTAACACACCCTTTGGATTTCAAATCTATCTAGAGATTTGAAATCTAAATGTTGGATTAAATATTGGAAAATACTAGCCTGCTTTCCTGGAAATAGAAACTCCTACTTTCCTACCAATCACAGTTTGACACGTGTGTAGAGATTTTTCATTTTGTGTTTTTGATGAATTATTTGTATATGTTTTAAATTGTGATTTGAAGTAGGAATGCCCCCTTCCTTGGAAGGAGGAAAACAATGTCCTTAAATATTTGACAACAAAAATTTCAGTAGGGATTTCAAACCAAATCAAACTAAAATAAGATTTGTAATTAAATTAGAAAGGAAAAAAAAAATTCACCTTTTTCCCTCTTTCTCTCCAATTTTGTTGCCCTCGAATCAAACACTCCAATTCATGAGAGATCTGAAAGAGATTGGAGAGAGAGATCAAGAGAGAAGGAGGAGAGAGATCGAGATATTCAATTGCTAAATCGTGAAAGAGATCATGTATTCCAATCTAGGACTCAATGCACAAGAAGTGTTCGACGAATTGTTTGATAAAATTGAACATTGTATTACATGCAGCAGGTTCTTGTTGACCAACTTCAAAAGCTGCAAGGTCTTCAACTAGTCGCATGTTTGTTCTGTACTGTATGAGCTTTTGTTTGATAAAATGATCCAGTATAAATGCTTTCCTCAGTTTGGTAAACTTCTTGTTCTTCTTTTAGAGAATCAGATACAACGATTTTCCTTCTTCTGTGCTAAAGAGGTTAGCTCATCAGCTACCAATTAGCTTCAGTGTAAACATGCTTCAAAAGAAAATTTCTTATTTGCATGTCTTATCATTGGATGAGTATTAAAAGAGCCACATTTTATGTTTTACACAAGACCCTCGAAATTTCATAGATTGAGTTTCTTGTTCACCAAGTTGTAGAGTTCTTTCTCATTCTTTACCGTAATTGTTTAACAAGGCCATAATTATCTTGATGTCTTGTTCACCAAGTCAAGAATCCCAATATGGCTAAAAATTACGTCTTCTGTCTAAATTAAATATTATAAAGATTTAATCTTGACTCCCAAGTATAGTTCTCTCAAGAAAATTACCCACATTCCATGAAATCTTCAAATATCTTGGTGATAGCACTAAGACATTACCATTGTTCAAAACGGAACAATAATTGGAAAGTTATTACTTTCTTTCTTTTATTCAAATATAGAATGTCGAGAAATTTTTGAATGTTCCGGGTACACCACGTGGCTGGTGTACTATCCAATACACATAGAACATGTGGAAATATTTTATTTCTATGTCCTGTTTGGACAATATTTTCACATATTCCATGTGTATCAGATGGTACACCAGCCACGTGGTGTACCTGGAACATTCAAAAATTACTCCTAAATTACACATCAAGAATTTTATTTTTATATTTTTAACAACAAATTACCCTCCCTTCCATAATCATCCTCAAATTAATCCAATAAAATATAGCGAAATAAAACAGATACAAACCGGAAAATTATATAGCCACTCCACCGGCCATGCTTGGCTCGGTGCCACCGGTTTGTTAGGAAAGTTCGGCAAATTAAGAAAGTGACAATTTTTTTGACAAACTTTCATGTTTTTTAACGTTTTCTTTGTTGGTTTTGGTCTAGTTTCCAATTGAGATCAGTTTCCTTATTCTCCAGCAACATAGAATTTTTAGACAATTTTATCCTCCTTTGTGACTTAGGTTACAAACATTACAAGATGTTATGATGTGCAAGGGGCTTGTAGCTCAAGTAGCTCAAGTAGTTAAAAGCATTTACCCATGCACATGAGGTCCTATGTTCGATTTCACACACCGACCCACTCCCCTCCCCCCCACCAAAGTATCACTTGTATAAAATTTAAATAAATAAATAAATAAATAAATAAAAAGAGCACTTTCTATAACGTTATTTTAGTGAAATGCGGGTAAATGAGTAGTCTTTAAATGTATAGGCTTGGGATCTCGTAGGTGGAAATAAATTGTTGGGCTTTCGCTGAGATATGAATTGTTTTAGAAACCTGCTATGCATCTCACCTCTTCCATTTGCATCGCTTTGATCTCAATCCAAAAACCACTTGGCTAGGCTAGCTCTTCCCCTCTCTATTTCTCAAAGTAATGACAACACCGATAAGTTCCGTTTCTGAGCGACCCCTGTTTTTTCTCTTTTATGCGTGTCTATGTTCCGATTGGCTATCATAATGCAAATCAAAAGTTTCCCTTTGAAGGAAGTTGAGGTTCCACCCCAAAATCAATTGGCAATGGGGGGAGTAGCCCAACTCTTTATAAACCCAGACTTGATCCCTTAACTTTTCAATGTGAGACAAACACTCTCAACACGCCCCCGCACGTGTGGCTAACTTTTAAGCCTAACACGTGGACAACACATATTGGGTGACATGGGAGCACGTGTAGTCGTTGAGCCCAACACGTGAAGCCTTGCTCTGATACCATGAAGGAAGTTGAGCTTCCACCCCAAAACCAATTGGCAATGGGGGGAGTAGCCCAACTCCTTATAAACCTAGGCTTGGTCCCTTAACTTTTCAATGTGGGACAAACACTCTCAACACCCTTTTTGCTTGGAAACCGGGAACTCTATCTCTTTTCCACGTTCGGCATATAACCCTCCAACTCCATTTCGTTTAGAGCACTTCCACCAGTTAGCCCCTTGCCATGGCAAGGGGAGCCCTAGGGCAGCTACTATTCACGTGAATAGTGGCTGCCCTACCCTCCCTTAGCAAAGTGTGTTTCCAGCAGTTTAGGCTTGCCATGGCAATATATTCATTTTTTTTTTTTTTTTTTTTTTTTTTTTTTTTTTTTCTTTGTTTACTTTAACAATTAATTTGGATAATATTTTCGGATAAGATTTTTGGGTTCCTACGTATGAAAAATCATTTTCTCAAGATTTTTAGCGGAGGTGCAATATTGACTAAGTATGAAAAATGGTTTTTCGAAATAATCATTTTCTCAAGAAAATTTTTGGCGGCTTTTATTCCTTACACATCAAATAAGAAAACTTGATTTTATGGGATTTTAATATGAAGTATATATTGACTTAATGAGCCATCATTTTTAGCCTAAATCGTATTTTGCACTAAAACCGATTTTTCATATTTTGATTTGGTGGGAATTTGATTTTCTAGTATTTTTATTTGAATCCAAATGTGGGGTATTTCTTTATTTACATTTTAAACTTAAGTAAATGGAGTAATATAAAAATAAATAAAAGTAAAAGGACAAAGACATTTACTTAAATGTTGAAAATAGAAATAAGGTATAGAGAGAAAAACAAATAAGTAATTTTGTGGTATTTTTTTCAATTTTTTATTACAAAAATATTGGCTGTTAGTGTTAAAAGTGAAGAGTATTGGTTGGTATTTATAGAAAACAATTTCAGTATTTTTTTTACATTTTTTTCGATTTTTAAAAAATTTAACTGAAATGCTGGTGTCGTCGTGACGTTAGCTCAGCCCGCAGGCAAGCACTCGGGCCGAACCCCACCTCGGGCCAGCCCAGGCTGCTGGCCCCCACCTCTTGCCCGGGCTCCATTTTGTTGCTGAAAACGCCTACAAGACCCAAACCCCCCCCAGCCCGAGCCCAGCCTGCATTGCTGGAAATGCTCTTAGACCTGGTTTTTCCCGCTTGTGGTCCTAGGAAAGCTGGCCTTCAAAGATGGCAACAATAGAAGAAAAGGAATGCTTTGGGCCTAAAAGAAAGCTTTCAAAGCACACACGAGTGACTGAAATGAAATTGAAGATACCGAACCCTTCAAGTCAAAAGACGGTTTGTCTCACCGAGAGAGGAAACAAAGGAAATCTTACTTAGTGCTTGCATTATAATAGAAACAGAGTAGACCAAGGATTTGTTTGCCCCACCGAGGGGGCAAACAACAAGGACCACACTTTTACTTGCCTCACCGTGAGAGCAAGCTTCAGAGACCAAAGCTAGGTCAGAACAACACCGCCCATACCACCGAGGATCACCTTTTCCACTACCCAAGTTGTTAGGATGCAGCTGAGATTCACTTTCGCCCATTTTCACCAACCGCAAGCGAAAGCATGTGAAGGAAGCCAGATTGGACGTGTGTTAGAGCACGTCCATGATTATTGTCTCGGCCGGTGTAATATAAAGTCTATAGATACAAGCAAAATCAAAGAATTTAAGGTTTAGCACTAGTCAAACAAATCAAGCCCAACGACTCCTCAAATGCACCGTTTTATCTTTTTTATCATGTAGTTTTTATTTCAATATTTTTCCTTAGGATTTAGGTAACTCTCATTAGAAAGGGCTCAGAAACCGTTCTGAGTTCATGGGCAATTCCCACTTTGATCGTTCACTTCGCATATCAAAAAGATTTTCTTTGTTTATCGTTTACAAAGTCAATTCTTGAGAGCACCATCGATACCCACATTTTTTGAGTCATATGAACCCACTGAGCTACCGATCCCAGTGCCACCACCAAGACTGAAGGCCTTGTGGTCGAGGCCTAGAACCTCACAACCTTGAATCTATTCGTATCTCAGTCACAATTGCTCAATAAGAAGTCAAGATCAATAGCGCACCCATCATCCACTCATAACCACGACCATTTCCAACAGTGGTACTGGCACGCCACACACACACCATTAAAGAAGGATGTCTTTGTTACCAAGTTTGCTTGACCCGCTCGATTATTTTGTTCTAGAATAATTGACACATAGCCGAAAAGATTCAAAGGTCAACACATTTCCCTATTGATTTTCCACTTTTGTTTTCCTCTTTTTATTTTCTATTTATTTTCTGGATTATAATACCTGCAGTATCATTGACAAGGGAAAATACCGAGACCATCTACTTTGCATCAGACCTCCCTTTCCCTTCCTATTCTCTCATTTCCTTTCATTCCTTCCAAGGGATTTATAAATTTACATGGAGCCAAATGACTTGTTTGGCAAGCCCAAAAGGAGTAACTTGAGAAATGATTTGGAATTTGGAAGAGGGATTTGTAAAGCCCAAATCCCATTCTGAAGTAACGCCTAAACAGGCGTTGCATTGAAATTCTTGAAGGCACTCGAATGCATCGTGAAGCACAACCACGACGAACGCCGACAAGCCAAGACCAACGCCGATGAGCCACGACCAAAAAAAAAATGTCTAAACAAAATCTTATATTTACTAGAAATTACCAAATAAAATCCCACCAATGAAATAATTAGCCTTACAAGGGACTTTACTAATCTCCCATCACTTTGGAGTCCCTCACTTTAAAATCCCATCATTTTCAAATCCGATCATTTCCAAAATCTCATCACTTTGAAATCCCATCACTTCAAAGTCCCTCATCCAAACACAACCTTATGCTCTTTGACATATATGATCTGATTGGCTGAAAGGCACATAATTCCTTAAATTTAACTTCAATGTTGGTCCTATGTGTAGGACGTACGAGATTGCTCTGTGAACTGATACTACTGTTCCAGAGGGTACAAGAACAATGACTAACGATGAAAGAGTTGCAAAAGTTTTTGGTCTAAATCAGGCTACATTAACGGATGTGGCATGAGCTTTTTCTAAAGCATTGTGTCCCCAAAAAAAGGATTTAGAAGACCAATTGCAAAGAATACAACAAATTGTTAATCAACCTGAAGTTAACCGACATCTTTTGTCCGACATTGGTAGAATGGAGAAGGGATTGGTCTTTATAACTGTGGAATGTTCCACACTCAATGGACAAAATGGAAGTAATTTTGGCTTCACATTGTATATTGGCATTAAATATTATATAAATAATATTTAATTATCAAAAGATGGCCTTGCGCACTTCAGATTTAAATTAATTTTTTAGTTTTAGATTAATAACTAGCAAAAGGTGCCCGCGCGATGCTGCGGGTTTTAAAATTGCGTGAAATGTGTATCAAGCGATGAAAATAGGCCGGGAACATCTCAACTACCCAGTTGCCAAAATACTCAGGGTCTACCAACATGTTCAAATATTGTAATCATCTAAACCTATCATTACAACAACAAATTAACACCAACCAATTGCCAATTGATGCCATTAGCTAATTCCTATGCTCTATTCATAAAACTTAAAACAATTAATTGAAATTTCAGCCTAGAAACTCACCCCTTACTTAACAGAACTGAAAACACCAACCAAACCGCTCTATCCAAAGCAACGAAAGACCACCTGCAAAATATCAAAAGAAAACATGGTTTTAAAAAAAAGAAGAAGAAAAAGGAAGAAAAAAACAGAAAAATCGGAGAAGAAATTAGTTTGAGTATTTCATGCATGCACAATCTTTTCATTAAACCAAAAAATTAGCTTGACCAAAATCTGTAAGGAAAGAAACCACTCAAGACTACCCAAATTAATGTGTTTTGGGTAAAGAAAAACATTGTAAAGGCATAGGAAAAGGGCTGTTTAAATGATTCTAGATGCATTTGAAACAAAGAGTATATGATCAAAAAGCTACTGGCCTAAACAATCAAAAGTTACCTATGCAAAAGTCACCCTAAACAATCGAAATTCCAAAACAACTATCTCTGCATTGTGGTTGTCATCAAAGATTTGAAAATTCTATCTCGTAACCCTACACCACCAAAAACACAGAATCAATACTAAACTCAAAGAATAAGAACTAAAATTAATAGAGAAAATTGAACTTGATTTGAAGGTTACCAATATGTCGTGATGTATAAATACCTCAGCTTTTATATAGCATTAGGGATTACCCAAGAACCTGAAATCAAATTAACAAAATAAATGAAGCGAAATTTGTAAAAAATAAATCAAAAATAAAAATACCCAGAGCAAGACAGCAAGACAGAGAATGAGAGAGACACAAAGTCCAACACAAATCAGTGGCCAGTGTGGAAACTAAAGCAAAATTTGGAAGCTGAAAGACTCCCCACAAACATAGACTAAAAACTTGGATCTGAAGAGAGGTTCGGTAATGCTTGTAGTAAAAGCTTAGCCAGAACGAAAAAGCAAAAGAAATGGATAACAAAATCACCCAAAGAGAGAGAAATAATATTTTCTGTAAAAATGGCGTTCTAGAACAAAATCAGAGTGTTACCTAAGATATCCAGAAATTAAAGTGAAATCATATAAGGATGCCAAAAAAACAAACGCTATTTAGGTAAGCGAAACCAGAGATGGAGAGAAAAGGAAATTTGTTAATTTGTTTTAATTTGCTAACAATATCTAGAAGAGAGAGAGAGAGAGAGATTAATCCCCGAAAAATAATTAAAAAAAGCAGAAAATCAAAATGGACGAAAACCATTTGGTGAACCAAAAACAAAACCAAAATATGAGAGAGAGAGAGAGATTCATACCATTGACATCAAACCCATCAAATCTAAATGCTTTTTTCATTGGTGCTCTGGAGAAACAACATATATAATCAAAGAAATTCCATTAGGATCCAAAAATTAGAGATGGTAAACATATCAAACCTAAATGCTTTCAACATTGAATCAAAAAGAGGAAGCATGGTCTAATGTATGAGAAATCCGAATATCACAACAAAACACAGATTCAAAGAACAACAACATTGAGCAAGCATATTGATGAGTACTTCATCGACCCTTAAGCTACATATTTTTGGGAAAAATCACAGCTAATAAGTAACAACAACATTGAGATTCAGAGTGATTAACTGGCATTTAGAAACCCTAATCCACTACTGAAATTAGCTAAACACAAAACAACAACAGATCACGAAATCAACATAGGGGTAATAGTCCATATGTTACCTAAATTCTTTCTTTATGAAACTGTTGAATTATGAAACTGTAAATTTCCTTCTACTCACTACATTGGGGTTGGCTTAACCAACAAAGTAGAAAAAGGAATGCTACCCAGTGATGAAAAATATGTTCAATTATTAGGGGAAAAAAATGGATAAAGGGAAAAGTTAAAACAAATGAAATAGATTCTCCAAAAAGGGAAATGTCAGGCCAACAAAAATTGAACTTAAAATGCATGTTTTAAGTAGTTAGCAGGAAGACCCAAAAACAACCAAACTAATGTGAACTTTCGACTTTAGCAAGTAAGATGGACAAAATTGAAGAATTAAGAGCCACAACAACTGTACATCTCATATAAAAAAAATCAGAACAGATAAAAACCATTTGGTGAACCAAAAACAAAACCAAAATGAGACAGAGATTCATACCATTGACATCAGATTCTTGTATTAATTACTCTAGTTCTTTTTCTTTCAATCTTCCTCCCTGTAACAACAAACCAAAGTCAATTTCTGATTTACTTCTCAATTTTCAACATGATGAATGAATAAACCAACCTAGAAAACCAAAAGAACCTTAAAACCAACAATTTTTTTCCTTGAAAACGATGAAGACCAAAGAGAGTCGAAGGGGAAGTTGCAATTTTCAAGAAGGATGAGATTAGAACGCAAGAAAGGATGCGAAGAGCAGATGAGATGAGATGAATTCGCGGGGGGTGAGATCTGAAAATAAGCTATGCAGGCTTACCTTGAAAGTACCCATGTCTGAGAATTAGAGAAGACGACTATGATCTCTGAGGACTCTCTCTCTCTCTCGCACCTCTTCAACATTAAATATAAATCTTTGCTTGTCAAAGAATAGCAACACTAAAGGAGATGTATCCTGCGTATCCATTCCAGTCCCTAGCAGCTGCAAAGAGTAGAAGCATGACCAAATTATTAGCCCAAGAAAAGGAAAAAAACAATAGAACCAAACTCCGCATTCTGAAATTAGGATATACAAACTTTTTTAGTTTAGAATAAGTCTCCATTCAACGCAAAAAATCAGCAAAAATCTGCTTGGTAAATCAAACCCATAAACAAAAAAATTATGAATTTTAACTCTTCTGAATTCTTTCTCGTCATCACTAATGTGCACAAACAGAATTCCAATTTAGAAGTTTTCAAATCCCACATATATTTCCTAAACCAGTCTTCTTCAAGTCAACTATGCTAAAACATTGCAATCAGTTCGTAGAATCACACTCCCAAATTTTCTTTCCCCTACCAAAACAAAAATTATCAAATTCAGATCCCTAGTCCCATAAACCAGTATAAGAACGAATTTGAATTAAAACCCTGTAGTAAAAGAACGAACATATCTTTAAACAGAGCTATCAAATAGCAGCACATCCTGCTTACCAAAACAGAGCTATCCTAAACCCTATAACAAAAGAACCAGCATATCCAAATACCGATTTCAGGGTTTACCAACTAATTTTTAATAACCAAACAGAAAACCTTACCAAAAGCAATCATATAGTATTTTAATAACTAAATTGTTTAACCTGATTTCATGAAAATAATAACACAATCAAATCAATTTTAGTATTTGGATAAAATTTGCAAATCAATAACACAGACCCACTATGAGGAAAAATTAGGGATTTGGACTTTTAGGGCAGCAAATTAAAACAGGTCTCATAGTTTAATCAAATAAGATCCAAGATATTAGTAACAACAAAAATGAAAAAGAAGGGCAACAAAAATCGAATGGAAAGATGAAGCAAAATTTACTTACAGATCAGTGAGAGAAAGAGACTGAAACAGAGAGAAAGCTGGAGTTTGATCTGAAGAAGAAGACCAACACACGCCACTCCTATAAAGTCGAAGCCTCCAGATAATCGTTCGCAACGGAGGAGAGAAAGGAAGAGAGAAGAGAGAGAGAGAGGGCTGCAATGAAGGGGATGAGGTTTTCCTTCTCTCAGCGACTCCAACGACAATAATTGAATGATATATTTTGATCACACAGCATAAAAACATAATTAACAATCCGAATCAAGCATGTGGGCGAAGAAATTATCTCATAGTTTCTTAAAAAAAAACAGCCATATACCACAACCTTACCAACTGAAAAAGACAATTGTCGCAGAGCCTCAATGAATGGCATGGATTCACTGTTACCTAACAATAAAGAAAATAGTTAGCACTTGCATATAAACACAGAAAAAGAACAATGAGTCATATAACATGTCTATGTTTTAACTATCGCTTATCCACAGTCGCACCCAATTCTATAATATAAAAATATGTAGAGCGCTCTTTTCCATTGACAGGAATGAGAGAAACTGATTCAATCCAAGTCTTAATGGCATTGATGTGTGGAACAACCTAAATCGGGTCAAACATGGCTGGTAGAGAATGAAAACCTGGAGAAGTAAATCAAGCCTGCAAGCCAAATAAATGAGGCTTCAAATGCAGCTTCTATCCTTTTCTATCATACGCATGAATTAATCAAACCAAACAGTCATATCAATTAATCAACAAATCATTTTTTTTTAGACAAATGAACAAACAGTGGGAGGAAAAGAAGTCCATCACAAAATTTAAGCAACAAATCAAATAATCATATATAGTCACTTAATCCAACAATCATTATCCAGACATAAAATCATCAATATTAATCCAATCCAATAAATCATTATCCACAAAAAAAAAAATCATTAACATTCATCCAATAACTCATTATAAAAATTTCATCTAAATATTAACGTTCAAAATATATAAGAAGTTGTTTGTTTATGGACATGAAGAAAGTAATGGGATTTTTTGTGTGGCGTACACGTTATTTCATATGCGTTCTATTAAATTGTAGAAGTTATTACAAATTGCAATAAATTTCAAGCAAAAATCAGATAAACAAACTATCAATCTGATAAGCATACACGATTAATGAGGGAATAAGCATTCAAAACGAATGGTGTTGTTTAAACATAAATATACCTTTAATTGAATGCGGTGAATTTTCTAAATGTAGATGAAATACCAAAATTATGGCAAATGGCAAGGGTTAGATTGTATAATTAACAATAAGAGTTTATTAATAAGACCTGTGTTAACAGTGAGATATTAATGTTCAAGCAAATACACAATTCATGTATATCCAGTTATTGTTTAAGTTGAAATAGTATAAAAAACTGATTTTCTCACCATTGCGTCAACCGAGACACATTGCAAACCAGCAAGTTGATCATCAAATCTGAACACCTTTGTTCTCCAGGTTTTGGACACACATTCTAATTTTCACACTGGATTGAAAGCGGTGCAAATTGTGGATCGGAACAATGTTCATTGTGCCATCAATCTGAAGAAAAAAACATATATGCCCTTCGTTAGTATAAAGATGCATAAAAAATTATTGCATAAAATAGAGGAATGTTTAATCATGTATGAATAGAAGCTGAAACCTGAGAGTAAATTTTGAAGAACATCTTTGTACACTATGTTTTTAGTGTATTTATTTGGCACTTCATTATTATTATCTATTATGATTTTGAGGCCTTCTCTAGACGTAGCTCTAGATAACGCGACATAAAGCTGCCCATGACTGAAAACAGGTTGGGGAAGATATAACCCAACTTGTTTTAAAGATTGACCTTGACTTTTGTTTATTGTCATAGCATAGCATGGTCTAATTGGGAATTGGCGCCTTTTAAAAATGAAAGGCCATTTGTTTTCTGTTGCTGAAAGAACGATCCTAGGTATAAACACTTTGTGGCCAATGTGGCTACCAGTGAGTATTTTTGCTTCAATAACTCTATCAACCATTTGGGTCACAACTAATCTTGTTCCATTACATAAACCTGAAGATTGATTTAGGTTTCTCAATAACATTATAGGCATGCCTATTTTAAAGTCAAACTATGTTCAGGCAAACCATTGAATTCAAGTTGATTGAGAAATTCTGTGGGATAGATCATACAAAGGTTTTCAAAATTGGTTGATGATGAACATAAAGAATCTGAGCTCAAATAAATGCGTTTTTCTCCAGGCAATAAGTCTATTGCGTAATTATTTATCTCTGTCACAGTAGAATTCCTAGCTGTAACAATGGCTCGTTCCCTTAAATAAGCAAAATCGGCAAAATTTTTGTCGAAATCTGGGTAAGTTGCCAAAAAATTGATTGAATAGGATCTATGTTGGATTGAATGAGTAAATCTTGAGGAATTTCAATCCAAGGTGCCTCTTCATCATTTGGATCGTCAATATCAATTATTTGGCCATTTCCAATTTGAAGAATCCAGGCAGCAAACTCACTTATTTTCTGTTTTTCTTCACTGTTCAACCCTTTTTTTGATAGCCTCATGTTTCTTTTAAACAGAATATTTTAAAATAAGGCCATAAGTAAGAGCTATTAAGAGAGGCGTCTATGATTTCTTCTCTTGTTCCTCCTGGAATAACTGGTAATATTTGTCTAAAATCACCACCTAGTAAAAAAGGCTTGCCACCAAATGGAGCATTTTGATGTGATAAAATATCACGAAGTGATTTATCTAATGCTTCAAAACAATGTTTATGATTCATAGGAGCTTCATCCCAAACAATCAGTTCAGCCTTTTGAATCAATCTAGCAAGATGAGTTGTTTTTTTAATCTGACATGTTGAGGAATTCGTAACAATTAAGGGAATCTTAAATCTAGAGTGAGCTGTTCTACCACCTGGCAATAATAATGACGCTATTCCTGATGAAGCAACAGCTAAAACAATCTTGCCTTCAGATCTAATTTTACTTATTATAGTATGCCACAAAAAGTTTTTCCAGTTCCTCCATGGCCATGAACAAAAAAAAGGCCTGGTTTTTTTTCATTCACAGCATTAATCACAGAATCATATACATCTTTTTGGCCTTTGTTTAGCTGTGTTATCAAAATTGAGTGTTCTTTTGCTAAATGATGAACATCATAATTTAACTCTTCTCTTAGCAATTTAATTCTAATTTCTGACATTTTATGTTCATCAGGCATTGGAAGATAATGATCTTTTAAAGAGCTAGATGATGTGTTAAAAAGTTGTTCTAATTCAAACAAAAGCGAATTTTTTAATTCAGATTCTGACAAAATAAGATTTGGCATTAGAAAAGCTTTCTGTAGTTTGTACAAAATGTCATCACACATATTTTGCCAATAAGTATCAAAAAGCAATTGAGGATTTCCTACATCACAAAACAAAATGATTGTAACAAACAATTGTCTTAGTTGAGAACATGAGGCTGTGTCCACAGCATTTGCTAAGGCCTCAATCCATTCTTTATCATCTCCTAACAAACCAAGGCATTTGCATGCAGCCTGATATGACGGATGTATGATTCCATCAATAGTTTTGATGTGATCAAAATTTAAGGCACCTTTTTGCAAATTCAAAAGCATTCTCAAGTAATACAATTCACCAGATGTAGGATGTACATAGGCAATTCTACCTATTGATCTCCTTCGTTTCCTAGGTTTCCAAATTTTGTTGCGAGAATCCCATACAAATTTTGTAGGGAATTCTGTATAAGTCAATGTTCGCGCTTCAGGAAACATTTGGTTTGCTTTAAACCAACTTGTTAGCATAGTATCTTCAATACCCTTTTGGCTAACAATTGATTCAAGTGATTGATCACCATTGAAAACAACATTTTGTTCTAAAGGCAAATGTATGGATAATCGTTCAACAGCAGGCTCTCTAGAATGAATAGGGTATTGAAACAATCTCCAAACGGCTTCATATGGAGATATGTATCTACAATTAAGATAAGCTAATATCTCATCCTCTGGCTTGTCTTGAAAAACTACTCTAGCTCTATCTGAACCTTTGTTTATGTATTTAAACAGATATTTTATAAGCATTGATTGGCAACATGATTCAACATTTATGTGAGCGTTGTATCTCAATAATAGTTCTGAATTGTAAGGCACCACAAAGCTATTGTCAACCTTTATTCCATTTTTTAACACAAATTTTGTTGGATCTTCACGGCGCCTATATGTGGGAAAACCATTTTTTTCAAAAACTGATTCACTCTTGTATTGTTTGGGAAAAGATTTAGAACACATACCTCCCCGCATGCATGGAGAATTACGATTGATTTCTCCGCACGGACCGTGGATCATGAATTGGTTTACAACGTCATAAAGCATAGGATCCACATCCTTGTCTGGTAATTCAGCACAAATGATAGAATCTATATCTACTGCTGAGAAGCATTTATAACCTTCTTTCAACCAAACCAACATATGACAATGAGGCAATCCCCTTTTTTGGAACTCGATCGTGCAAATTTCTGTTTGTGATGAGGGCAACAAATACACACAAAAACCTAATAAGTTTTATTATCATTAAAAAAAAATGTATATATATCTTAGAAATTGAGGATAGCAGAAATTATGAGTTTGTAAAATTCACCTGCCTCAACTTCTCCAAAAACTTTTCCTGATTTGATATAATTGATCATATCATCAAGCTTCATTTTAAACACTCTAGAAATTAGATCAGGTCTATCCTCTCCTTTGTATCCAGGCTTGTTGTCAAGTTCTCTAACAATTTCAGGCCATTTGACATTGCATGTGAAAGTTATAAACAAATCAGGATTACCATAATGCCTACAAATTGCCATAGCATCTTGATAGTTATTAAGCATGTATCTAGTACTTCCAGTATATGAGCTAGGCAATATCACTTTTTGTCCCACATTATTGGCATCACTATCACCCTTTGAAATTGCATCATAAATACCTTTATAAATCTCACTTCTCAAATTTGTTTGATTTTTTCTAATGTAATCCAATCGATCTTCTTCAAGTGTTGCGTAAGAATCTACTAAAAACTGTTGGAACAATCTTCCACCTTTTAACAATGTATCCAATAAAGGTCCTCTTTCCTGAATCTGGTAAGCTATGAAAGCTCTCATAGGCACCCTTCCTCTTTTGGGGTCATGACCTTTGTAATCATTGCTCCATTTTAAATCAGGTCTATAACCATCTTCGCCATAAGGGAAAAGAATAGGATATTGCAAAGACATGAACTTTGGATTTAATTTTGTGATTCGTTTCAACTCTCCAGCTTTCAACTCTATAACAATATCTCTATTCGAATCAAAAAGGCCTATATCTCCCACAACCAAACCACCAATTTCATCACATGTCGGTTGTTCATATTGTTTACTATCATCTGCCTGTCGGCCCAACAATCTCAGTTTTAAAGAAGTTAGACAACCCCTTTCGAATTTATCCCTGACTATTCGAAAAAGTTTTACCAATTCATTTGATTCATCAAACATCTTAATCAAACCTTGAACAATGTCTTCATCAAGCTTTTCATTCCTTTCTTTACAATTAACAGCGTTAAGGCGATTCATTGTTTCATTATGGGTATCATATATGTAAAGCTGAGCAAATTTTGGACATTCACCTTCAAGGGGTAACAAAGAACCCATTAAATGATGAACTTGACCACTAATTTTAAAAATGTAAGGACCTGGTCCACTGTTAATTGAGTGATCAACTTTGGCTCCCATTGAAGTAAATGCAAACATAGAATTATAGGCCCTGATATTCTCTCTAAACAGCAAACTTTTTGGGCCTTTACTCGGATCAAGTAAATTTTCTAAAAAAGGAGGTGTTGGCTTTGAAATCGGAAGTTTGATCTTTCCTTGTTGACAACAAAGAGTAAAAAGAGGCTCATTGGCTGCATTTGCTTTTTTAACAGATTCTTTGAACCAAAAAAGTGCACCACAATAAATGCACTTATAATTTTATCTCCCAAATCCACATACTGTTCCATCATTCCTACAAAGAAAGGAAACATAGAACAGGGCAAAAAGAGAAAAAATAAGACAAATGTATGCCATAAGTAATATCAAGATACGGTTTAAAATAAATATTTAACAGAGGAAAAACGCACTTTGCCTCTTCCTCTGATAAAATGCTTGACCCCTATTCATCTGATCAGAAATGTCAAATGAAATCTCTTCTCTGGTTGTTTGACTTGTGCTAGCTTGTTGCACTATGAAAGCTCTATTAGAAACTCTGGTTCCAGAATTTTTTTTGGCTTGATGCTTAAGCTTAGTATTAGTGCAACAAACATTTTCATGACAGAGTTGTGCACCACTCGAAGTGGAAGAAATATGGGTTTCCTGTGTTCTCAGCCTTTTTCTGGTTTTTGCAATCCTTTTAGACATGATATCCAAAAATTACAAATTCCAACCAACAGATCGATAGCTGGGAAGGGAAAAAAAAAATTGCATGAGTTAACTTATAATATTTTTATTACATCTATAGCCTAATCAAGCAAAATGGACACACACCAACAGTACTCCAGCTATAAAAATAAGATTTTTCAAACAACACAACATCTGAAAACAAATTAAACACAATTTCTGCAGCCTAACCAAGCAAACCAGATATACGCAAGAACATCATAACCACAGAAATAACAATTTTCAAATGAAACAATATCCAAAAACCAATTTTCTACAGTTGATATGCATGACTTCTTCAGAAGACGAATAGAAAACTGACCTGTTGCCTAACAACAATGGGAAGAGCTATCAAACAGTCGAAAACGCAGTTAAGACAACACCTATAACAAACACAACCGAAAAAATGAAATCAAGGAATAATCAAAAGAGCAAAAAATAAAAACATACAGATTCTGTTTGTGATTGTGGTTTGAAAGCACATGACTTATATATACATTCTGATTAATATATATATATATATACACACATACATGCTCTAAATAAAATATAAGAAAAACCGAAGTAACAACACATTAAAAGCAGCAACTTCTAAGCTAATTACTTTTGAAAATTTCAAACTTTCATATATATATATATATATGTATAGAGAGAGAGAGAGAGAGAGAGAGAGAGAGAGAGAGAGAAATTACCCATGTAAAAGCCAAGGTTCTCGCCAAGATCAGCAACAAAAATTGTATCTGTCAATTACAACCAAGGTCAAAAAATCGTAGGCAAAGATATTGACACATGGTGTATCCTTAATTATATAACTGATCTGTTATATTTGAGTATCCTATTAACTCTAAAAAGTTAGTGATAAAGTTGGTGATTTAGTTTGTTAGATTATAGATTTCTTGATTAGTAAGAATGAGCAATTTCATAAAATCTTTAAGAGAGGTATCACTCAGCCAAAAGAAAAGTAGATACCTTTAATCAATAGTGAGCAATGAAATTATGCCTTTTTTTTTCTAAGCAAATTAGTTGAAAATAAAATATCAGAAGCAAGATTGGTCTCTAGGGATTTCAATTATCATCACATCTTATACTTCGGGTTCAAGCATGGCATAAACAGTAATTGAGAACAAAAACAAAGATTTTATTGACACTTAACCAATGAGATATTCCTAGCATACATTAAACCTAACTATTTTGACACACCATCAATGATACATTCCTAGCATACATTAAACCTAACTATTTTGCACATCAATAGACTTGAAAATCAAATATGAAAAGCAACATTGGTCATGCTTTTATGCATCAACTTTTGGTTCATTAGTTCATTAGCTTTAATATACCAACCTTTGAACAAACTACTACTCATTTTTTTTTTTTTTTTTTTTTTTTTTTTTTTTTTCATTTATTATATATTGATTAATGAATTAATATGTTTGTTTTTATGAATTTGCATATTATTCACATATAATTCATGGAATCTAATTAACCAATTTGTGCATTTTCTTAAATTGGATCGAAGTTTTATAATAATTGATGCAACAAAGGAAAGAAAAAGGAAAAAAAGGTTATCAACAATTACTCATTTATCAACAGAGATTCTAAGAAATTATCTTCTTGTTTATCAACCAATTCAATCAAAAGCAACAATCAAAGGCTGAGATAGCTAGAATACCTCAGTTGTAATGATTCAAAATGAAAAACATAGAGAATAAACTCAGCAAGCAACAAAATCCCAGAAACACGGTGCCTAAAAAAATTATACTAATAGAATCAACAACAATTTTCCATTTTTTCCTGTAAAGTGAAAAACAGAGAATTTCAAAAACTCATTACAGAATCCTCATTCATAATCTCACTTATCTTGTTAAGTATTAGTGTCATCCGCCAATGCACATTACAAAATTTTAGTTCACAAAAAAAAGAAAAAAAAAAGGAATAATAGATGCGAAGTTTATTAATTTGATTTAAAAAATACTAAACCTTGAACATGTCCGGTTCATAACCATAGTCAAATGTTTAATATAACATATACTCAATTCATCAATTCAATGAAAAATCAATCATACCACTTATCTAAATCATAATTTCAATGGAAAATGCCTTTATACAAACACAATTTAGAGTAATCCATCAACAGCTGATGAATTGATTGTTTTTGTTGGGGGATAAAAGCAAGTGTTTCTAAAACAGAGAATAAAAACATAAAAGTTTTTGAATCTTAGATTCCCTTTTTTACTTTTTGTTCCTTTTCATCTGTTTTCCCACAAAGCACAGGAAGATTATTTGGTATCCATTACTATCATTTATCATAGACTACAACTAAACAATGGCTATGAAATGCCATCAAAAAATTAGATATAAAAGAAAACAGAAGCCAAATACACAAAAAATTTCACACACATTCAATCACAAAAGAACCGTAAAATACGTGGCACCAATAAACACTATGACTCAAACGAATCAAAATTAAGATAAAAATTAAAATGTCCAAGAGCTATAGAGAAAATCTCACCAAATCCAACACGTTAATAATTTCTTTTCCTTAAACACAGAAATAGAAAAGAAAAGAAAAAAGGGGGAAAAACAGTTCCACCTTTAATTCCATTTCGTATATTAACCATTTTCAGTTTTGAAAAAAGTTGGGAATCCCATTGCTCTGCTAGTGATTCAAAATAAGAAAATTAAAGAAAACATAGGAAAAGATTGAATGTCAAGACGAAGAGTGTGTTAAGAAGACAAACAAAAGTCCCAAGATTCACAGGTATTGCATTTGGAATTTCCCTTTTCCACCATCAAATGTCCGTTTGTGTGTTGACTCTCTACTCTATCAATCTACCAAATTTCTACCTTTTTTTTTTTTTTTTTTTTTTTTTTTTTTTTTTTTTTTTTTTACAATAAACAAAAGAAAACCATGCTCAAGAAAATTTAATAATAAACTTTTTAAAGCAAGACGAACAAAAAATAGAGCATGAAAGATGTGTCTATATGGTGGATGTACTAATATGATATGGAAGTCAAATAAGAAGGAAAACAATATCCAGGAATCCAATAACAGTAGCAGATCAATTGAAATATTATAAAGTGATTCTTTAGTTCTAACCTTTGTAAACAAAACAATAGCTAATGTATATGGATCCTCAATTGAAAACAAAACTAAAGATAAAATTCAGAGTAAAAACAACAGCAAAAGCGTACATATCAAATTACAACCTTGTAATCCAGAGGCTTTCTTTACTTGTACAAAAACTCTATAAACTAAACAATGTGAAAATCAAAAACAAAAAAAGAAAGCCCAATTGTCAAAACACTCAAAGGTTCACCAACATGCTCAGATATTGTAAACATCTAAATCTATCACTACAACAACAAATTAACACCAACCAATTGTAAATTGATGACTTAAAACAATTAATTGCATTTTCAGCCTAGAAACTCACCTCTTACTTAACAGAACTGAAAACACCAATCAAACTGCTCTATCCAAAGCAACAAAAGAACTCCTGCAAAATATCAAAGAAAACACCTGTTGAATCCAAGCATAATAATGACTCAATTTGCTCAATTTCCATTGAATTCCAAACAGGCCCTGTAAATCACTTGAGGATTCGCAATTCAAGGACAAACAAACAAATGGTTAGTAAGTATGCCTGCGTAATCAAATAGTCACAAATACAAATCAAAATATAAAATAGAAAATTAATTACTCTGTTTTTTCTTGCACCCTAACCCTAAACCCAACCTCATTTTCAATCTGTTAGATCAAAGCACAGAAAAACATTGTTTAAGAGAGAGAGATGGACCTGGAGTCCTCGAGCTTGCTGTGGACTTCTTTTTGACGCCGAGAACGATGGTGTCGGTGCCACGTACGCCGACGGCGGCGTTACCCGTGCGCACAGCTTTTAGATAGAGATTGATTTTCAAATCAAAAGAGAAGAAGGCAAGGAAACAGGTGAACAATGGAACCGGATGGAAAGAAGAAGGCAACGAAGGGGGCGAACGATGGAAACGAAAACTGAAGGCTTGGGCAGATGGTTCTGCAAAAACGTCGAACATTCCAGATGTAGGCATCGAAGGAGACGGGGGGCAAAACGGGAAAGAGACGAAACTAATTAATTAAGGACAAAACCGTGATTTCACTGTTCTGATGAGAAAAATGAGTGTGCAAACAGTAAAAAGAGAGGGACACAAACGTCACTTCACTATTGCTAAGCTACAGTCTAGGAACAGTGAATTCCTGGATTCAGTTTTAGTATATATATAATTTTTTATTAATCCGGATTAGTTTAAATAAGTTGAATCCTGGGAGGTGACTTGTAGAACTTCAAGCATCAAGAAGGGGTGAAATTACTGTCTTTAGGACATTGCATTAAACTGCAAGCATCTATCTCGAATCCAAGTTAGTTTCATTTGTTTATTGTTTATTATACTTCAATTTACAGTTTGTTATAAATTTAAAGAAAATTTACATAAATACCACATGAACTTTTAGGCATGTGCACCATTACCATCTGAAATTTTTTATTTATTTATCTATTTTATTATTAACTACCTCAATGTTATAGAGTGTTGCAATGTACCACTTATGTCTAACTTCGTTAAACTTTCTATTAAGTTTAAGAACAATTCTATCAATTTACTATAACTGAAAAACTAACAAAATTTATAAATAATAATAATTTTTTTGGAGTATATATATTGTTGATATATAAATATATTGTTTAATTCAGTCACTTATTATTGTTTTTCCAACAACCTTGAGGAAAAGCAAAAGTAAATTTAATGAGGAGTTCATGAAGAAACTGAGCCTCACTTTATATACCTTGAACATGGTAATTACGATATTATTGGTGACTAATGTTGTGAACTTATTAGAGTTTCAATTATTACAAATATATGTTGTATAATTTTTTCTTCATAACTTATTATTTATGCTTTTACTTGTTTTGTATAAGAGAAAAAATTCTTTTGTTCAATAATGGAAAAATTTAGGGCTCGTTTGGTATCCTACTTGGATCCATTTTTTAAACTCAAACAATTGTTGAGTCCAAAGTCCATAATTTATGTTTAGTAAAGCCCATTTTTCAAAAGTCCAACTCAAAAACAATTTTATAAATGCTCAATTTTAAAAACAAAAGAAAGTAAGATTTTACATTTTGTTTTTTTTTCTCTCTCTCTCTCTCTCTCTCATCTCTTTCTCTCTCCTCCCTCTCTCTCTCTCTCCCCCATCTCTTTCTCTCTCCTCCCTCTCTCGTCTCTCGTCTCTCTCTCTCTCTCTCTCTCTCTCTCCTCTCTCTCTCTCTCTCTCTCTCTCTCTCTCTCTCTCTCTCTTACATAATCATACTTCTAATCATCCTCAAATTAATCCAATCAAATTGAACAACTAGGTGAAGAGATATTGAATATGAAAATTAAGGAACGATAACAAAGCAAAACAGATAATTGAAACAATCATGTCAACCAACGAGAAAACACAATAACAAAGCCAATTCAAGCACAATATTGCAATTCTAGTAAAAAAAACTTATCTTCAAATTTTCATAAACCCTACCTTGCGACCAAATGAGTATTATTCTGAATTCACTCACAGTTTTGGACCTTTCGCCCACTGCCACTCAAACTAAAAATTCATAGATAGAAAACACAGGAAAGCTCATCTAAATCCTTAGTCACAATAAAGGTACTCTCTCTTGGTTCTAAAGCTGAAACAAGAAGCCAAGTCTTCTTCTGTTTTCTTTTCTTTTTCTCCTTCAACCTCCTCCGTCTTAAGCTTTGGCATAAAAAGCTCGTTTATAACACTCAGCTTCACATACTTCTCTGGCACATTAAAACCATGATACTTGGTGAACCCATTGTTCTGAAATTCAGTCAGCGAGCCAGGAACAAAGTCGGTGTTCGCGGCCTCTTCGAACTTTCTTTTGCACCAATTATCGTTCTGTCCCGATTGAAACAATGGATCTGTTGCAAATTCCTTGATGACCCGTAAGTCCGGTGGGGATGTTGTTGCGACGGGGTTTTTGAAATACTCATTCCCAATCTTTATCCACTCTTTTCCGGCAATTGGCGAAGAGTCTTCTTCTTCTTCTTCTTCTTGGTGCAAATTCGGTCTAGATAACATCGAAGGGTAGTCTAGCTCCTCTGGTTGACTTGGAGTTTTCCCAGATCTTTCTTCGACAATTTCTGCCATGGATCTTTGTGAAGCTTCTCCCAAGATCTTCCTCTTCTTTTTCGATATTCTCCGATCAACTTCTTCTGCTTGCTCTGTAGTAACAGAATTGGAATGCTGCTAACCACTTTGTACGATGCGGATAGAAAAGAGTTGGTGTAAGTCAGACGTTCAAATTTGGAGGGAAAGAGCTGAAGAGAAGGGCTAATGGTAATGGCTATGCGACTCGGACAATGTTCGTCTGTTGTGGGTTCTTGAAAACAATTTGGAGTAGATATATATATATATATATATATATATATATGAATACATAATAGAATTTGGCCAAATATGTTTCCTTCAAAGACGGGAAATTAAAAATTCATCAAAATCCGGAAACAACATATCTAGAATACCCACAAAAAAAGAGAGAAACAAACCAAACCATTCAATTGGCCATGGTTGGCGAGACCGGCGGTGCCACTTATCAGGAAATTTTGTCAAGTTAAAAAAGTGACAATTTAACTTTCTTGTTTTTTTTTGGGTCTAGTTTCGGATTGAGAATGGTTTCCCCTATTGATTCTACGACAGCATAGAATTTTTACAGAGCGACGCTTTTCCAATCAATGAAGGATTCTATTTTTCGGGAAAATAAAATAAAATAAAATTACTTTCAATGAGGAAAATCTACAATTGTCGCTGAATGTGACCTAAAGTTGGTCTCCAGATCAAAGCCCTAGTGAGGAAACTTGGGATTCAAAAGCTGTGTCATGACTCCCACCAAATTTTATATTTATATTCCACCTATTATATTATCTATTCAATTAAATAATACACAAAAAAATATAATTTGTTATAAAATTCATGCCTACAACATTTGAGACATCAACAACTTAGATTTAACTTATGTCTATGAGAGATAAAGTTTCTTGTAGTGCAACCAATTCTGTCACATCTTAGGATCGGCTCCGCCGTAGCACGATATTGTCCGCTTTGGGCCCCCCTCTCTGCCCTCACGGTTCTGGGAGCTCACGAGCAACTTCCCAGTGGGTCACCCATCCTGGAATTGCTCTAACCCCCAACTCGCTTAACTTCGGAGTTCCTATGACTCCAAAGCCAGTAAGCTCCCAAAAAGCCTCGTGCTAGATGAAAGTGGGCATGTACATATAAAGCACATCACCCCCTCTTCGTTGGTCGATGTGGGATGTTACAAATTCTCTTTATTCCATCATTGTCAAATGATCAAGAGATAATTTTTTGTTGCAAAGGGATCCAAGTTTTTGTAATTATAGGAAGAATTCATGAAGAACTTGGCATATGAAGCAGCAAGATAGACTGAGTAGGAGAGAGGGGTGAAGTGAAATAAATATCCAATGGGTTGTGTTGGCAATTAAATGTGTATGTGAGTGTTTTTAAGCGTACACTCGCTGCTGTTGGATCAATTCAATGACTCTTACTAAAGTTGTTTAGACTCACTTTTTTTGTTTATCAGAATGTGGAAATCTGGAATTCATAAAAGAACCAGGGCCAGAAGATACAATGAAATCCAGGGAGAAAAAATAACTCTTTTTATATTAAAATGACTGTCTTGCCTAGATATAAATTGTCTTAGCTATGCATCATGACTCTTCCATTTCCACGCTTTGATCTCAGATCCAAAGCCACTTGGCTGGGCTAGCTCTTCGCCTCTCTCCTTCCTCCGAGTAACGACGATGCCGGTAAGTTCCGATCTTGAGCGACTTCTTTTCCCTTTTTGCTTGGAAACCTGGATCGATCTCTTTTCCACCTTCATCATATCATTCCCCCCCTCCATTTTCAGTTGGTTTTCTAATTTGTTTTCCTATTCCCTTTGTTTTTTGTAATTGTTGTTATAGAACACTGAACTCCATCATCACTTTTATTAAAATCAAAATTTCCTCCTTTTTGCTCTATGTTGTTATGTTTTAATTTTGTCAACTTTTTATAGCATGTGATATATAATTCAAATTTTGGTTATTGTTTAGATGGAAATCGTTCAAAAGAAAAGGCAATAATTACTTGGGTGACTAGGTAAGCAGATAAGGAGTCATTAAAGTTAATGAAGCATTGGGATGGAAGGCACACATGAATCAAGGCTCTTCAGAATCTCCTATTTGTTTTCCGTATCACTAAGAGCATCTCCAACCGATGTGTCAAACGTACCATATAGACATTTAACAACTAAAAATAACATCTCACATCACTCCAACAGATGTGTCAAAGCTGATGTGGAATGAAGGTTGGAGGTTGAAATGTTATTTTTGACATCCCAAAAGCAAGATGTCAAATGAATATTTTATTATTTTTTCTTTTCTTTTCACTTTAATTAAAAATGAATCAACACTAAAATGTAATAAAATAATAATTTAATTTGACATATTGGGTGGAGTGTAAAGCTGTGTAAGATGTCAAATTGCCACATCAGCCATCAAATTTAAATTTGATGTCTGATATTTGACATCTCCCTTGGAGATGCTCTAAGAACGTTTTGTTTTTGGCTTTTAATAAGTTCTATGTATTTGGAATATTTATAGAGTCATAGTTATTCGGATGCTAGCTCGATGTATGGGATGAGAGATCAAGTCTAAGTACTTGTATACTTAGACTTCTTAGGGCAGTTGTTGAGAATTCAAATTGAAAACATAGGGAGTGTTCTCTCACCCTTTACTCATAATCTAGATTTTCTTAGAATCAACATGTTCAAGAGTTTTTCTCGTCTTTTATGCCCAGTTTTGGGTATTCTTAGAGTAAACGAGGTCTGGTGGTTCATGGTTCGTGTTTCTCAATACCCTTGCTCGACTACTGTTTGCATCACTAGGACCCTCTTTCATCTGCTCTATCTCTTCTTTGGTGAGTTCTCTAACTTCGAATCTTTTGTGATTAACTTATATGTATGTGAAACATATGCAAATTTTAAGTATTATATGGTGCCAACGGGATTTAGGCCAGTGGAAAAAGACCTTGATTTGCAAACCAGTGGTCTCATGTTTGAACCTTAATGGCACATTGGTGTGTGTGTGTGAAAAACTCTCCTCACTTTGTAGTTTAAACTATTGCTTCTATTAATATAAAAAAAAGTATCATACGCATTTGTGGTAAGATAGAGGAAAACCATGTGTTTGCACCTTCATTACATTTTTTTAATTTTTGAGTGCTGTAGACTTGCAACTTTCAGTTGAGTTTATGATTTTGTTACTTCTGTCTTCAAACATTTGGCAATTATTATCACTGTTTTGAAGGTTGAACCTTTCCAAAATAATAATAATAATAATAATAACAATAATTTTGTTGAGAAAGGATGTATCAATTTCTTTTGTGTTCTGTATTTTGGTATTTTTTCGAAAGAAGGTTTAAAAGAAAAAGGTATTATAATCCTGAATGTATATTCAGACCATCTAGTTTGCATCAGACCTTCCTTTCCCTTCCCATTCTCTCATTTTCCTTTCAGTTCTTCCAAGCACTACTTAGCCTCTTTGACATATATGATCTCTTTGACATACTTCTAATCTTGGCTGTTGGATTGCATCTAAGATACTACCAACACATTTAATAAATACAATCCAACTGCCAAGATTAGAAGTATGTAACCAATCTTTAACATAAAATAATTATTGGAGAATATCTCTATGATCTGATTAATTCAAAGGGACATCATTCGTCAAATTTAACTTAAAATGTTGATCCTTGTAGGGCTTGATGATTACTGTACGAACTGACACTTACAAGAACAATTATTGATGATGAAATAGTTGCAAAAGTTCTTAACGTAAAATCAGGCTACATTAAGGGATGTGGATTTGGGACTCAATACCTTTAGAATCTTTTTCAAAGCGTTTGTGTAAAGCATTTGTGTTTGAAAAAATAAATAAATAAAGATCTAGAAGATTGCAAGGAACACAACAGATTTTTGAGAGCCAACAGCAAGAACTTGACCATCAATCTGAGGTTATCCAAGTGTTGGAGGAGAGGAGCAAACACCTTAAGGAGAAGCAAGATAAATAAATTTCAAGACTTCATTAGGAAGATAAGCTCAGGCCAGAACCCCACTTTGTAGCTGAGTCACTTTTATATATCTTGAACTTGATGATAACTCTTAGGGTTATTTAAACAATTACGATATTTGCTTCGTTTGAATTAGTGGTGACTAATGTTGTAACTTATTATGGAGTTTCAATTATTACTAATATGTTGTATCATTGTTTCCTCATAACTTATTATTTATGCTTTTAAGGTAAGCAAATGAAGAAAGAGTGCGGTGAAGGTGGATCGAACACCTGACCTTAACCTACAACACGCTACAAGGTGTCATGGAGATCTAAACCTGAGACTACTGGTCCACAAGACAAGGGTTTCCATTAGATTGGCGTTCTTTTGTTCAACAATGGCAAAGTTTAGTTTTCTTGTTCTTTTATTCAAAGATAGAACTTCTGAATTATAAAACAAGAATTTTAGTTTTTTACATACCCTTCCTTCCACACTCATATGCTTCTAATCATCCTCAAATTAATCCAATCAAATTGAACAAGTAGCTGAAGAGATATTGAATATGAAAATTAAGGTACGCCAATGGTCTATAAACCAAAGAAAAACACATCATTCAAACGTTCATGTCAACCAAAAACACAACAGAATAATAAAGCCAATTCAAGCACAGTAGTGCAATTTCCAGTCAAGAAGTTTATCTTCAAATTTTCATAAACCATTTGCGAGCAAATGAGTATTATTTCTGTGTTTTGGACCTTCAGTCACTGGCCAAAGAAACTAAGTTTAAAGATGGAAAACAGAGAAAAGTTCATTTAAATGCAGCGATATTGAATATGAGAACTAAGGTACGCCAATGGTCTATCTACCAGAGGAAAACAGATCATCCAGCTTCACATACTTCTCTTCCACATCAAGAACACGATACCTTGTTGCAGTCAACGAGCCTGGAACAAAATTGGTGGTTGCAGCCTCTTCAACCTTTCTTTTGCCCCGATTATCATTCTGTCCCGACTGAAACAATGGATCTGTTGCAAATTCCTTGATGTCTCGTAAGTCTGGTGGTGGTGTTGTTGATACAGGGTTTTTGAAATACTCATCTCCAATCTTTATCCACTCGTCTCCAATAATTGACAGAGAGTCTTCTTCCTCTTCTTCTTGGTGCAAATTCTGTCTAGATAACATTGAAGGGTAGTCCTTTAGCTCCTCTGCTTGACTTGGAATTTCCCCAGATCTCTCTTTGTTTTGTCGTGTTTCTTTGACAATTTCTTCCATTGATCTTAGTGTAGCTTGTCGTACTAATTAGATCTCCCTCTTTTTGTTTGATCTTCTTCGATCGACTTCTTCTTCTTGCTGTGGTCGCAGAATTGGGAATGCTGCTAACCACTTTGTGTGATGTGGATAGAAAACAGTTGGTGTAAGTCAGGTTTTCAAATTTGGAGGGAAAGAGCTAAAGAGAATGGCCCATGGTAATGGCTATGTGACTCGAACAGTGTTCGTCTCTTGTAGGTTCTTGAAAACAATTTCGGCTAGATATGAAAATATAGTAGAATTTGACAAAATATATTTCCTTCAAAGGGGAGAGGAAATTGATGATTACACAACAGAATTACCAAACAAGAATTATAAAATCATGAAAAATGGAGAAAAAAAATTACAAAAAAGAAAGAAGCTGCTCCACCGGGCGTGCTTGGCAAGAGACCGGCGGTGTGTGCCATCGTGTTGTTAGAAAATTTCAGCAAATTAAGAAAGAGGCCATTTTTTTAGCAACTTTCGTACGTTTTGTTTTCACGTTTCTTAGTTGGTTTTGTCTAGTTTCCAATTGAGATTGGTTTCCTTTCTCTACGAAAACTTAGAATTTTTGGAGAGCAGGGATACTACGGTTTTAGCCACGTTTGTGACTTAGGTTACCAACATTACAAGAAGTGAGCTGGTAAGAGCCGTTCACACTACAACGTGGTATCGCTTTAGGGACACATTTTTTACCTAGGATTTCATTTTCTCGCAAAAAAAATATTTCAGCGAGGAAAATCTAAAACTCTCGTGGAATGTGACTTGAACTTGGTCTCCAAATTGGACCATGCCCTAGAAAGAAAATTTGGGATTTAAAATCTATCCACACATAGGGGTGGGAACTTTCCCTGCGGGTTAGGGTTTTCAAGGGGCTTCACCCTTAAGTCATGTATGAAGGATTGGAATCGGGTACGCAAACGGGTTCAGGGAAACTTTTGTGTGTAGTGTTCGGTGTGTGGGAAGGATGGTATTCTAATCTGCCAGCTAAACCCTCCCTGTTTAAGATATGTATTATTCATTTTCGTAAGAGTATACTGCTATGTGGATCCTAGTTATGTCCCACGACTCCTACCAAATTTTATGTTTCACGTATTATATTAATTATTGAATTAAATAATACATAAAAAAAATAAGTAAAAAACAAAATTTAGTTTTATTTGTTGCCAAAGTGATATAGTTTCAAACCCCTTTTTTTTTCTCATTCAAAAATTATTTTTTATTAGTAGTTTTGTAACGGGGCGAGGCATGAAGGCAGATATGGGGAATCCATGATTTGAATAGTACAGGTGCGGAGACAAGGATGAATGAAAAAATTTAACTGCGACGTGGATGGGAATGACATACCCTCCCTCATTCGCCTCATGGCCATCCGTATTCAAGTTAGATTGTTTAAGCGAGGAAATGGATTCTGTTGACCTCAAAATACTTTTAGGCTTACATTTGGATTATTTTGGATAAAACAACCAAGGGCCGAGCGTATATGGGAACAAAGTTTCCCTTTGGTGCAACTATTGAGTGTGGCATGCCAACTATTGTGGTCATCGCTAACCGTGATAGCGAATGAAAAATTTGGTGGTGATAGGCACTAGGATTCTAACTTCATCGAGCGATTAGGGCCAAGCAAGGAACGTATCCTTGACCATTGGATTCTCAGCTTTGGTAACAAAACCATTGATTTCGTATGTGCCGGTCGAGTGCTGGTGTGACTACTGTGTTCGGTGGAAAAAGCTCGACTATCAAGATGATCTCTCAAGTCCTCTTTGAATTATGAACTAAAACATAGTTGTAGCGACGAAACTTGTTCACTCTAGAGGTCTTGTCCCGACAAAATTTTAGATTTGTGCCACAATCGTACTTCCAAATTTCCAAATATCTGGAACCTTTTGCCAATGAACTCTTCCTAATATGCCTACGGCTAGGTTCAACAACACAATACTTATCCGATGAAATGTGCACCGCATTTTAGTAAGAAGGTGAAACGACATTGTTATGGGTGGGGTGACGAACTCTCTGCTTTCCTATCGACAGAACGTTTCGCCGCCTGAAGAAATCCCTTAATTTCAAAGCCCAGAACACGTACTCCATTTTGACAAAACTACTCTAAAGCAGCTCCGCACAGCCACAGCTCCCTCCACTTCGTCTTCTCCATCTGAAGAGGAAATTTCAACCGACACCCAAAACCCTCAAAACCTAGAAACCCACTTCGTCTTCTCCAGCTGCTTCCTCCATCTCAGTAAATTTGTGTGCTGATTTTCGTTATCTGTAATTTTGATGGTTTAATAGTTTTGTTTAATTGATTATGCTTTCGTGTGAATTTTGAATGGCGTGGCTGTAAATGAAATTTTGAGTTTTGCCATTTATTTGTTCCTTTCTAGATTTAGGGGTAAATACTTTTTGAAGGCTAAGTTGGAGGTCAAGGGTTTCAAAGCCCCTGTCTCCAACCTTACATTTCCTATTGAGAATGACAATAACATACTAAACCTGTGGGAGCAAATATTTTCGTCTCTAATCACGGCACGTCACGTGGAAAAGAAGATTATCTCTTAAATTAATTAATTGAAACAATTTATCTGGCCAATTAATTAATAGGGATAAATATCTAAATTAATAGGATATTATCTTTATTTAATAAGATAATATCATTAATTCAGATATTATCCTAATAAAGAGAAGATAATATCATTAATTTAGATATTGTCCTAATAAAGAGAAGATAATATCATTAAATTAGAGAATAAACTCGTCATATTCTCTACGAAACCCTAACCCCGAGGCTCCTATAAATAGACAACTTCATTCATCATTCAAGGGACATCTAAACCTACTCTTAAACCCGAGAAAAATACCTGAAGCTATCTCTCCCTCTCCACTCTCCATATTTTCTCCACACGGCCCCGGCCACCACATACGGCTCCGGCCGCCTGGTTCACACCATACATACAACTCCATACCCTTTGCTTAGCTATTGTTTTCCTACAAACACTCAAGCTAACTTAGGCATTGGAGGGCCTTTGGCCAACACCCCCAGGTGTGGTCTATTTACTCCAGTATTTTTTACAGGAATCGAGGAAGAGAGAGAAGGAAGATCGAAGGTTGAAAGATCTAGAAGCGAATATTCTCCCGTGAAAATATTTGCACAAACAAAACTCACACACACTACAAAGATACTAAGACTCAAATCCAGGACCTTTCTTGGGGAGAGCATTTGCTCCAAACCACTACACTAGTAGGTCCTTTGCAATTTTTAAATATATTAGCATTTACGCAAACCACCAATCTGACCGATTCAGTCAGTTTCAACACTAAAAATCGAAGATAAAAAAAAACATCATCATTTCGGTTCTTTGTGTTTTATCTTTTCTTCCCTTTTCCCTTAGTTTGGTTATTGTTTATGAATTTTGAATTTTCCATTTGTTTTTCTGTCTATGGTTTGATTCTAGACAATGTGGTTTGGAATATTTCATTTTTCTAGTTCTTCTAAAATTTAATTTGTTGCTATGTTTCAATAAGGTTGGAATTCGATGGTAATAAATATATTGACCATTGGTGATCTTTGTTCTTTGGGTTCAGGTTGTTGCGGGCTCAGCTTCATGAGTTTCCTACAATTGTATTTCATGCTGTTCTCATCAAAATAAATTACTGCATTCTAAGAAAAGCCCACAAGTTTTGGGCATTGTTGAATTTTCATATATAATTTAAATTTAAATTTGCATTTCTCTTCATTTATTTTCTTTGGTCCTCAATTTATATGAAGGAGAAATAGGGTATGAAATCTGCTGTGAAATGAATCTTTCTCTCTTTCTCAAGTGTTGATTTGGTACATCCTTGACGCCAATGGTGTGATGGGTTTATTCAATTTGGAGAAACTCACATTTTTTTATTTTAATTCGTCTAATATGATTTTGGATTTCATACTCTTAGGTCTTGTTTGTTGAGGATTGGACTAGACTAGACTAGCAAAAAGTGGATGCACTTCATGTGCAATCTAGGCATTAAATGGAGTCTAACTTGGAGGATGAAGGCATATATAATATGGCTACATTTTATAAGCAATCAAAGCATGGTATTTTAGTAGGTTGATGAATAAAACTTATCCCTCATACGTTTAGGAGAAATCTCCACCCCCCTTACATTTAGGACGCACGTTGCAGTTGGAACTCTTCCAACTTAATCTTTTGTTCATGTCTTCCATCTTCTTCCACAAAATAGAAAGCAATGAATTCCTTCACCTTTGTTGCAGATCTCTTTTTTTGCTAGGGTAATACGAAGAAGGGGAACACTTCGTAATATCATCTACAAGGTATTCCTGTTCTCTAAGAACGGGATTGATGTGTAGTGCTGCCCACATTGTTAATTTCTTTGTGTTAGATGTTTCAGTCTCAAATCTCTGCACACATTTGCCGCAAATTAATTATTTGTTTGTCTTTGCTTCATTTTGCATCTCTTGATTGTTTTTTTTTGTTTTTTTTATAAAATTGAGCATGTTCGTATTCTTATCAAGGTAGATATACTATAGAGTTGTATGCAAGGGCAATTAATCATTTTATCAAAATTCAAAACATGTGACCTCAATAAAAACCTTTTAAAATGATCATTTAGAAAAATACAATTGCAAATATATATATATATATATATATATAGGACGTGATTGAAAAAAGGCCTCTCGCATGCACCACGTGTACAGAGAGACTAGTTTAAATTAAAATATTTATTTTTTATATACAAGCGATATTGTGGGAAGGGGATTTGAACACAAAAGCTCAGGTGCAGAGTAACTACTCTTAACCACTTGAGCTACAAACCACTTGCATCCAACTTCTGTTTCCGATTTTAGACTTATCCCATAATTTTTATCTTTTCTTTTCTTTACATTTTATCGCATGTGATTCCAATTCAAATTTTTGGTTATTTGCTTTAGGTGGCAATCGTTCAAAAGGAAAAGAAATAGTTATTTAGTGAGCAGACCCTCTGTCATATGCTCT